CTTATTTTAACTATACTTATTATTCGGCTATAAATTCTATGTACAAATAGATTACCAATTTAATTGTTATTTATAATTTATACATAAGTGTGTATAGATATACCATTATATTTCTTAATTATACATACATTGATAGCTATTATATATTATCAATTAACATCTAATATTTTCAAGTATTATAATAGACAATTCAAATATTAATAAAGTACTAATATAGGTCCTCTTTTAGAAAATAAGAAACATATTATATACATAATACATATTGTATATATTCAACCGTTCTTTACTGTTAAGTTTTATATGAGGTAAATATCTCTTTATACTATATAATTATAGTAATTAATATAATCAATATATACTCATTATAAAAGGATAATTATTAAAACATTTAAATTTTTTTTTTAATTATCTAGAATATTTTTTTTAAATTTTTTCTGGCATTTCAAAAATAGATTTTGTAAATAGAGTTAAATATGATAACCATATAAAAGGTAATCTAATATTCATCTTGGCACTCGGAAACTGTTATAATTAAAAAAAAAAAATAATGGCCAGAAAACTATACAATATTGAAAAAATTATCATAATATAATTATCACTTTCAAAGTCGTGAAATAATAATAATTTTTTCAGTATAATAAAAGTTTTTAGACTACTGTTTTTTTTTTTTAGTCATAATAGTTTCCCAGTAGTAAGTGTCAAAATATGGACGGGTTTTATATAATACATATACCTAGTGAGTGATACTAAAAGTAAAAATAGACTTATATATCTATATTAGTTTTTATTTTTAAACAATAAAACTTTATATTATGCAAAAGTGACGATTATTTACATCATATAAAAATAATAGAAATTCTATGGATAATATTGTTGTTTTAAAATGCGTTACTATAAGTTAAATTGAAAGTTCTTAGAAACTTTAAGAAAAATTTAACTTAATGTAAATGACTTGCGACTATTGACTATTCTGAAATATATTAAATAGGTAATTAAATTATAAATATTTAGGCAATCAACAATCTTGTAAGAATCTTAACGTACCTAGTACCATTTATATCAACAATAGTAAAGTATTCGAGAAACATTCATTGAAAATTACCCCTTTATTTTTTTAAGATTTACACATATTATCTCTTATTTAAGTATGAGCACATGTAGTATAATAATTATTATATATATTTATTACATAGTTATACGTGCTTTTATTATATTTTGTTTTAATCAATGTATTTGTATATTATTTATGAGTTTATGACATATTTAAACTTCCAATTTCGGTTACGTATGTTGTATGGTAAAATCTCAATCATTCGTTAATTACCTATATATTATTATGTTTTTATATAAACTATCATGTAGGTAGTAATTAGGTAATAATAAATTATCATTATATTTGGGTTCTTTATTTGTCATAGGTACCTATTTATAACAAATATTGACATTTTTCAACTAAAATCAATCCAGTAAAATACTTAACCTGATTTATTTACTTAAAGTGTTTATGGGGAGTTATTATATAGCGCAGGTACCTATGCATATTACAGTGCTTACCGCAAAAATTTTTATTAGTTTTAAAATAAATTGTTTTTTAGGTACTCACTAATGAAAGAATCTTCGGAACAAACCGTAAATTGACTATCCGACCAACGAGCCATTGTTAACGATTCTTAAATTGAACTAAGTCGTAAATAGCCGCCTTGATGTTCATCATAAACTAGGTACTTGCTAATCTTAATGTATTTTATTGCTGTTGCCTGCTTGTTTAAACAATGTGATAAGTTTAGATATTAAAACCATATCTGTGTATTTATTGGATTATATTTTAAGTAATACCTAATATGTATACATATATATACGTAATTATAATTTTAACATGTACACAAGGTCCAAACTACAAATAATAGGTACCTAGCATAATATATGTACGGTGTATAGGTACCTATTAATAGTGTTATTCATAAATTAAAATATTACCTTTTAATTGTGTTATGATGTTGATACTGCTTAACTATTATTGCTATAGTACAGGCATGGGTGTATTTAAATTATTTAACGCGTAGCGCAGAAGTTGTATACCTATTGTTTATCATGTAACCGGGTATAAAGCTCCACCAGCAAAATATTCTAGCTTAAGAACAACTCAGGTTTTCTTATCAATTTGTTTTCGTCTAATTGTCCGTGGACTATGTTCCTTGGTTCATCAAAAATAACAATTTCCACAAATCACAATAAGTTGAAAATTTCAAAGTTTACTTAATCATATTATCTTTAATTTCATTAGAACTTAACCATGGGCAAAAGTATAGTAAAAATATAAACTAATACGTTTTATTATATAATCTTAGATTCAAGGTTAAGTTAGGAAATATTTGGGGTTCTGCAAGAATTTACAGTTGGAAAGCAGGCTAAGCCGCTAAGCCTCCATCTTAAATGTACTATTATATACTTGGTCCACTAATTAATAGCCATCATCCCTCACGAGCTCTGAAACCCTTACAAAAAATTCGTCTCAAATGGACTTGGAGATAATTTTACTAATTCAAATGGCAATATATACCTAAAAACGCTTTTAATGTTCAGTTATTCGATATTTTTGTTACTTTAAATAAGTACTAAATACTTAATCAAAATTGTTTACTGTATTTTTTTTTTTGTGTGTAATTGTATTCAGAGGTGGCGAACCTTTTACGGTTTGCCTGCTAAATTTTTGAAGTCAACGTTAAAAAAAAAAAATACTGAATTTTTTTAATATTGGTTGTGTATTTTTGTTAATCTTAAATGAATCACAAATAGCATTTGTCTAATCTACCATTGTATAATTCCTGTTTTGATTTGAAAAAAAAAATTTATCAAGGAAAATTAATATTGACATAGGTATTAGGTGTATATGTTCAATGTTGACGGGATTATGAATATATTTAGAATAAGTCACTTTTTTTTAAACTACAAACTATTATTTTTGAGACTTGAGAGTAGTGAGTACCAAACTTTAATAACTAAATGTTTTAGAAATAACAAAATATATTTTTGCGTGTCGTGAAAATCTTCTTAACCTAGATTGTAATTATTAATTTGTAATGATATGCTCACACATCATAATTTATTGTACATTTTATTATTTCATTAAATAAATAACGGTAAAGTTGTTACATCGACTAGCATGCAGATAGCCCTCAATAAAAACCAATAATCCCTATTGATCACTAATGAGAAAAACGATTTACATTGTTTGGTCACGTAGGAACTCACGCGTTATTGTGACAATATGATGCAAAGCGTGTGATCTATTTTCGTGTGCCGCCAGAGACAAGGGATGGTCCAATGAGACTCTCTCCGTCGTCGGGAAGAAAGCTGATTTCTCTAAGGACGCGGAGGCCTTCGTTGGAGCCGCCTGCGACCCTGACTGTCTTGACTACGTCGTCTTCTTTCGCCATTGCATGAGCACCAGTCAAACTATCGAGTGCATGAGCACCGACAAAATTACAAGTACAAGCGCACCAGACAAGCGAGCAGGAGCTCTACTCAAAAACCAACACACACCTCACCACAAGATTCTGCGAGCGACAGCTGAACTTCCTTTTTTTTTTTATAAGTTAAATCAGAGTTGTTTTTTCTTATTTAAACTTAAGTTTTTCTTAAGTCGTATCGTAACTTGTGTCACCTTACATCTTTCTCCGAGGAACATACTATAGGTATTCACTGCGGCAGGTTAGGCGCATGTCTAGAATACTTATTGTTAGGTAGTAGGTACAGATTCTTTTACCATCTAATTTGCGTAACGGTGTATTTGATCATATTCTCGAATCACGATCTCGAGAACCCTCCGAAGAACAGGAGGAAGGTAATAATACGAGAACAAGTACATTCAATAATTATTAATACCGGAATTACATACAAGGCTTGTGTCCCTTGTGTCAGTCCGGTCGTATCAAACTTCTACTTTTTATCGTATTTTTAACTACCTTATTTAATATTTTATTTTGTCTTATTTTTGTGTTATTACAAATTGTTAATAACATCATTCTTTAATCCATCTAAAATTAATGCCTTTTGAAATTTTGATTTTTTTATGCAATCTTTTTTTGATTTGTTTAATTCTGTTGGAATATCACTTTTCATAATTTGCTTCTGTATATAAACCTTTTTAGTTTTACTAAGTTTTGGTTTTTTCAAAACTTTTTATAATTTATTTTTCATCATAAATATTTACCGTCATTGAAAGGTTTTATGTTCAACTGCGAGAAGTTAAGATTTTGAGAAACATTATAAATACGCATACTAAATTTTGAATCTTCAATAGGTATTTTTTAGTTTAAGACATTTTTTTTATTTTTAGTTTTAATAATAGGTTAAACTTTCGTTATTTTGTTACTTTTAAAGTTATTGTTTCTATTTTCTAACGCATACGAGGTATAGGCTGCGTAACGTGTAACTTTTGTGTTTACGTTTTATTTTTATTTTTAAATGGAGCCAATATTTGATTTATTAATTTTTGTCTTTTTTTCTCCTTTGTAGACTAGCAGACACAATTGATTATAATATTTCCCAAAAACATTTTATATTTCAAACTTTGGATTCTGTAAATTTAAAAATCTTTCATTAAATAATACCCAGTGGCGGATTCAAGGGGGCGCCCCTACCTTAATAGTTGTATTTTACTTATAAGGCCTAACATTCAATCCTGAATATTGTGTTAAAAATTTATTAAGAAAAATTTTGGGCACCATCCCCCTCAAAAAAAAAAATGAAAATTCCTAGATTTGCTACTAGGCTAGTACTTATATTATTTTAAAGGATTTTAAATCAATAGAGTATCTAAAGTACTTCATTAAAAAATAAAAAGTCATATATTATTTTAGTCTTAATTACAAGTTATAATATTTCAAAAATTTCAAACTTAATTATGGTTTCATAACTTAATTTTAAAAAATGTAAAGTAAAATTAAATTAAATTATGTGACTACTGACAATAGTAGAATTTTTTAGAATAAGTTGACACTGCACAAGCGGTATAATATTATAGTTAAGAATATTTTTGTTTACAATGTACTGAATATAATTTGATTTTATTCAATCTAGAGCAGCGTTTCTCAAACTTTTTCTCTTCTGGATTCCTTAAATATAGTAAAAATGATTGCAGACAAAAAAAAAAAAAAAAAATAATATTAAATAATGTAATATGGTATAATTTAATTTACATTTGCAGACCTCCTCCGTTACACATGCAAACTCTTAGGGGTGTGTAGACCACAGTTTGGGAAACACTGATCTAGAGTATAAATTATTTATAAATTGAATAATCCCTTGAAAGTAAGATAAATAAAATACATCATATCAATACTATGTTTTATAGATTACTAAATGCAGTGAAAATGATTACCAAATAAATACTCAATTCTTTAATAAATCTCTTTAAAAACTTGAATATGTCTGATTTCAATAGTAAAATTTAATGTATTAATTTTACTTTCACAATTTTAATTTGATAACTCAATGACATTTCAATGTTTTTTTTTTCTACTAAACTAATATAATCAATTTTTTGACAAATTCTAAGAAAAGTAAGATACGTTTGATAAAATTTTTATATATTATTATATTAAAGTCTTGCTTTTTTATCTTTTTCAATTTTTGAATTTAATTTATTTGATTCACGTTTCCTTTTATTGATAGCACTTCTAGGATCATATATTTCAAACCAATCGTCATCTTTTTTATTTGCATCTTTTGCAAGTACAGCATCATCTTTCTGAAATTTAAGCGGATGACTTTTCCTATAGTTAAAATAATATATTATAAATTAATTACTACAAACAGGCTTAATAAAAAAAAAAAAACACTATAAATAAATAAATTTTTAAAATTTGATATTCGTTTAATTTTAAAACATACCAATCATCATCTTCTTCTTCTGTTTCAGATACTTTTTCAGGTTTTTCTTGGCTTGATTGTATAGCATTATGTAGTTTATTTTTGAATTTCTCTAAAAGGCTAAGAGAAAATTCTTCTCTATTTGAACCTGAAACAATAATCATAAGATAGGAAATTTTTAAAATTAATAACAATTACAATTTATAATAAGTAATACCTTTTTTTGGAATTTCACTTTTTTTGGAAGAATAAATTTTTATATTTTCCAAATATTGATGCTTAAGTGGATCAATAGGCAATATAGGTATACTAGGTGTATTATCTATATCTATATCATTTTTTTTATCTTTTTTTTTTTTTGATAGCTGAGATTTAATTTGATTTATTTCTTTTCGGATTTCCTCTCTAATAATAAAATAAGCAAATTTAAAATTTATTTAATACAAGTTAAAATATTTCCATTTTAAACATTGTAATGATATAATTTAAGATTCTAAGTGGAGCAATAAACTTATTCATTTTATAACAATTAAAATTAAATATTTTCATTTATATTATGTAATTTTGTATAAATGTTGAAAAAAAATTATTTGCAGAGTAAAAATACTTGAAAATTTATTGTAAGGTTCCTTATTAGTTTTTTTCCTTTTAATATAAAAAAAAATTTTATAGCAGTCAAAAATTAATAAAATATAATAGAAATGTCCTTATAAGTAGTTTGTACTGAATCTCAAAAATATTTAAACATATATTATTTTTATAGACATTTAAATTTTAAACTTTGATGAAATTACATATTTAATTTATTAATAACTATATTCATAATTTTGTTAATAATTCAAATATACTATTTGTGGGAAAATACAACTTTTACATATATTATTATATTTTGTACACACTGTTATTTTCAAATGCAATGTTTTAATATTAATTCAGTCTACTTAATTATTAATATTAAATTATATTACCCTAATAGCATTATTAAAAAAAAAAAAAAAAAACTTAAAATATACTAATAGATCGTATTCGCTTAGAATTGTTTTTTATATACAATAAATTTAAATTTAACACATTGATTGTAGTGGTCTATTCCTTAATTTGTATTTAGCGGAATGGTACTAATAAGTATATAAATATGAAATAAATTTTATAGAGAAAAAATGTTCTTACTATTATCAATGATTATAGAATAAAATATTTAAATACTAAATTAATAGTTACGCTTTTTTTTTTTTCTCTTCTTTTAGATCTTTTCCAAGTTCATAGTCATCAAAATCTTCTTCATTTGATTGTTCAACTGATTTAGGTACAAACTTTTTATTTTTACTATTAGATGACAACTTTGACCGGACATCATCAATACTTATTCTAAATAAAAAAAGGTATATATTTTAATATAAATATTGGTATACAAATTAATATTAAAGATATTTTACTTTGATGTCTGATCACTTGAAGGTATAGCTATATCATCTGTAAGTTCATTATCTATAACAGCAGGTTCTGAACTTAACTGAGGATCCTTAAGAACATCATGAGTAGATTTTGGTCTACCACTAAACTCTTTAACAACATCAATAAGTTCTTCTTCGTCCTCTTCAGCTTCTTCACCAAATGATAAAAGCTTAAAATTTCTAAAAATATGTAATTAAATTTTATCTTGGGAAATTAATACATACATCATATATTAAATGGTATATCAAAATATCTATACTCTGTTAGCCAGAAGAAACATACTTGGTGGTTGACTAATGCACGAGAAAGTTAATTATTATACACTAGAACCTCTCTAATCCGTCACCTTCGGGATTAGGGGTGTGGTCGGAACGCGAAAAAGGTCGGATTATCAGAATATACAGAACATTTTTTTTATTTACAAGATAATATTAGAAATTTATTATATTTTACATTACTTAAAAAAAAAGTCAGTTATAGATTTTTTTTTAGCAAATGACATTCTAAACTTAACTGCAATATTCCAAAATATGCACACTGATAGAAAC